GACCAGAACCCCGTTAACCCGATGGACCCAAAACCAGTTGGATGGCCTCCATTTAAAAGTCCAAACCCCGCTGGACCTGGCCCGTAGAAGGTTATAGGGTTAGGGTTAAAACTATCCAAAGTTTTACATAGTGCGTGGGTCGAAGAAGCCACCGTCCGAATGTATCCGGTCCCCTGATAGGCCGCCCGTGCGTGCTCCCGCTACCCGCCTCCGCGTGCCCGCAGTGGGGCCCGGTCACAGTCGAGCTCCCTCTTCCCTTCCCTTCTGCAGCAGCCAGCCACCCCATTACTTCAAACTTGGCATGTAGGCCGTAGTGGATATGAAATACAACATATCCAAATCAAAAGCAATAATTCCGCCGGGAAGGGGTTAAATTGTGGTGTCAAAGTCAATAAGTTGAGGTGCGATGTTTGATGGGGTAAGCCACCAACCCAACCAGACCCAACTAAATATATATATTTTCACCCAGGCAACGGAGCGGTGCAAAGCGGTGCAGGATCAACAAAGTAAATAAAAATAGCAAAACATATAAGAAAACTGAAAGGCTTCATTCTGGAGTGATTTTAACCACAGAAAAAACAAACATTCACACCAGATCAGATCTGTCAAGTTTCACACAAAGACACTGAATGAAGGAAATATATATATTTTCAATGCACAAGACAGACCAAGCATCGACATGGAACATCAATTATTTGTCCACTGTGAATCATACCTCATTATCATATGCCGCCGGTGCAAGCACGCTGTGTGGCCAACAGAGATTGAACGGCATCTGAAAGGCAAGGCCCATCAGCTAAAGCATGCGGTGGTTCAGCAGATAAAGGAGAACATTGAACAGTGGGACAATGTGGCTCGAGATACTACACAGTTAACACTGCCCACAATACTGAATGAACCAATCCCGGAACTACCCATTCAAGATGGCTACAGGTGCCAGCGGGATCCCCAGTGCCAGTATGTGGCAGGGAACATGAACACCATGCGCAAGCACTGGCAGAACAAGCACAGCTGGTCGCCATATCCCAGCCGTGGCCGTACAGCGCCACAAAAGCGTACGGCAGCACAGGATGAGGTGGACAGATCATGCCAGAAGGTGCAGTTCCAGCAGATATTTGCATCGCGCAAGGGCTCCCACTACATACAGATCCAGACTAAGGAGACTACTGAGCATACCGGCACGCAAGACCAGAACAGAGCCAGCCAGGCCATTGATGAGCTGGAGCGGTTTTACCAGGAACAGCAACGGCAGACCAGCAATGTCATCCAGGCCGGGGAGCACGATGAAGCCAACCCATGGCTGCGGCGGACCAGATGGCCGGTGTACTTGACCAACATCGCACCCAATGATCTGGTCAACTGCGTCCAGCGGCCCGAGGATGACACCACGTGCCCAGATGAACTGGCCGCGAGGGCTATCTGGGAGGCCATGGGTCAGGTTGCCCGTACCAGCCAGCGAGTCATCACACGGCTGGGCCACTTCGTCCGCATCGAGGCCATCCGCACAGAGCGACACCAGACCCGGCACACCCCGTTGCAGGCGTACATGGACGAGGAGAGCATCGCCGAGCACGTGAGGCCATGGCAGCAGATGTTGATGTTTTTCGCCCGAACGCAGGTCGAGCATGAATGGACGAGCCCACAGTACCGGTTCACACCACGGCAGCGCAAGACATGGAGGGTATTATGGCAGGTAGCCACCACAGAGGGAGCCGACCAGCGACACCCCATCAGCCCAGACCCCATGGATGAGCAGATGACTGAGGAAGAAGAAGAGGAGGAGGAGGAGGAGGAGGAGGAGGAGGAGGAGGAGAAGAGACAGAGAGATACTCAGTCAGAAGAAGAAGATAAGTTCAAATTAACCAGGATGCAGATGGCATGTTTGGATTTTTGCATTGAGCTGCTGAACCAGCGGGTTCAGGGTGGAGGATTATGAGTGCGCGCTGGTAGAACGCGTTGGTCGGTGCTGGGACGGGGGGAGTATGGATGGTGCGACGCGGAGAGCTACCCACCAATGTTGTCACGGATCATCAAGGTGGCACGGTTCATGGTGGTGCAGAAGGCGCTGCGACTGGACGCCAATGCATCCGACATGCTGGCCAGGAACCAAGCAAGCCAGATGGTGGGAGAGTGGGCCGTGGTGAGCCCCATGGAGGAGGCGGATTACACGTTCACAGGCAATCAGAATGAAGGGTAATCAGTGAAGACATCAGAGGCATCCCATCAACAATCAGACAGACATTCCACAAACAGAATGTCCATCAAGGCCGGTTCATCATCACACATCAGCAGCGAGGGCAGAGGGCATTGATGGATGAGGAGGTTTTAGTGGAAGAGGCGCAGAGGTGGAAGGATCAGTGTTTAATATGTGCAAATGGCAAGCGGGAGTTTGACCATGAGCTGTACCAGTGTCCCCACGAGGAGAGCCAGGAGGCAAAGAGATGGATGATGACAGTGCGGAGCAAGATCAAATACACACGGTATTCCGGGTGCTTCCGATGCGGGATGCCGCAGTCCATATGCAACAGCTGGAAGACACAGAGGCAGTGTCCGTACAGGGGATTTTTGATCCCGACAGTGGCAATGATGATGTATGGGTGTCATGCAGGGCAGATGAAGCAGGCGTGGAGACAGCGGCTGAGAGAGTTCAATGTGGATGCAGATGATCAGGAGGCGGTGATTGAATTTTTGGGACAGAAGGTTGAGGGGCAGGGCATGGAGCACAACCGGCTGGTGGAGATGGTTTGTTGAGTGAGCAGTATTTATCAGGTGGATTTCCGGGGGAGGATCGAGTTTGAGGGTACAGAGGTCAAGTGATATCATTGGAGGGCAC